GGGGGGGGGGGGGGGGGGGGGGGGGGGGGGAGGGATTGTGAAACAAGTATCATCACTTCCGAACACCGCCCACCTGACATTGGACACAGGGTGGGCAAAACGTTTCTGGTTGGAGTGGCGAGGGTGGCGAAAATGCTTGAAAATCCCGAACCGGGTGTGTATGCCTCCCAAACTTCATCGTTGAAGGCACTGATCCCCGCAGGCACGAAAAAACAGGAATCAATATAATCCGCCAATTTACTTCGAGAGATGGCCAGGAAAACTCTTGCAAGAAACGCTAACTCCGCCGGCAAGCGCCAAGAATTTCTCTAGGCGTCACACTACGATGCGTCTCAAATGTCGCAACAAACGCTGCAGCGCAGCAGCATCTTCGTGCTTGTCTGATTTCGCAACGGGTAGAATATTTCCTACTGAGAGTGTAGAATCGAACGAATGACCCATGAAGAGCCTGGTTCGTTGGATTAGAGCCACTGCCACCAGCGTGCCCATGTGCATGAATGCCATACTCGAAAGTTCACGCGTAAGTGAAAACGTCAGCCGCCCTTGACAGCAAAATCCACCTCAACACGTGAGAAAAGACGCCAAGTCATCACAAAAAAAAAGGAAGTGGGCATGTCCACTGGCCGCTATCCCGAACTCCCCACGGAAGTTTTTGAAGAAGGGGAGACACTGGTTGACAAAAAATGAACATATTGACCACGGTGATGGACCAAAAAAACGCATAAAACAAACTGCGAATTCACGCCGGGGTCAAGTCGAAAGCGCACCACAAGATCTTCAGCGAAATGAATCGAATCGAATCGAATCGAATCGAATCGAAGGCAGGCAGGCAGTCAGGCAGAAAGCAACAGCACCTGTATGGCGGAGTCCATCCACTCCTTCTGCTTCGCGATCCGCTCAGCGTCTGCGGGGTGCGTGGACAGGTACGCCGGCCCCTTCGAGATGCCCTTTTCCTTCGTCGTCGCTTCCATGCGGCCGAACGTCTGCGAAACGCCCAAAACAACGAGTATTCGACAGGCGATGCGGGTGTTGGTGGGGCGCGTAATTCTTGTCGAAAAACGAGTCGCTCCGGCTTTTTTTTGTTGCGTTTGGTGTTTTGAAGGTGTGGCGCCGATGTTGGGTGCACATGGTTGGTACACACAACATTGTTGGTCTGTGACCACGGAAAGCATCGGGGTCAGTTGAACGGTAGCGGATGCTGTTGCAGAAGGTACCGAGAAGAGACGGGAACGGCTGTAAACGTCAAGACGACAACAACAAAAACAACAACAACAACAACGACAATAGGCCGCCGCGGGGCGTCAGCGGCACACACCAGTCCCCTCCCACCAAAAGCTGAGTCGCGTCAAGATTGGAGCGGGGACCGGGTCGGCAAAGCACACCACACGTTGCCATGACAAGGCTGCTGCACGCGGAAAGAAATACGCTTCGCGACCACGCCCGTATCTCCCTACCTTTCGTGGCGGCGTTTTGACCGGTAAACCTCACAGAAATCGACACACATTTGACAAGAACCTTCGTCCACTAGAGAAACCTAGTCTAGTGCTTGCGTCACATCATGTCACGGTGTGGCCCACGTCACGCAATTCTAAGCATTTTGTTTTACTCAAAAGTCGTTACAGTTCATACGTAGCATACTCATCGAGTGTTGGTTCACCTCGGGCATCTCGTGTGGATCGAAGCAAGCCTTGGACATCAGCTGAAGGCCGATGAAGTCAGCCTCGAGCTCCATCTGCAACGGCGCAAAAACAGCAGGGGGGGTGCGAAATGTTTATCCGGCCGCGAGCGGGTAATACGCCTTGTGCTCACCAAGAACAATAAGTACGTATTGTGTACACAAACAGCAAGGGATTGTGATCGACCTATTAAATATTTTCGTCCATTGTTGGCAGGCCTCAACGAAACCGATGAAAGAGCGGTTGCGAAACGCATATCCGCCCACTCGCCTCACCTCTCCTCTCCTGGCCCTCCCGACCAGGCAAAGAATGACAAAGATTCATTCCCTCCCACCGTCATCTCTCAGATGTTGTAAAACTCGAGCGTTGAGCACAGGGAATCAGCTGTTAGACACATCCCTCTCCGCACTGTCCCCCCCCCCCCTCCCCCCCCATCCCCACCGTGGTAGAGCAAATCACGGTTTTTCTCTCTCTCGCCTCTCACGACATGAACCGAAGGCAGATTGGTTTTCTCTCCTCTCATGCCTCTCGAGCTCTGAGGGACAGGCACGCAGCAACGGTCCGTCCCTACATCACTTCTCACCTACCTCACGAGAGTTGGGCAAATCGAACACCAGGCCGCCGATCGACCTCGCCACATCTTCCTCACCCACATGCCCCAGCACCGAAGTTCCGACCAGGGAGAAGATGAAGAACGTCACAAGAGCAGTCAGAAAAAAAAAAGGCAGAAATATTAGTGAGGCTCTGGCTCCGTCTTGGAATGTAGAGATGGCGGCATCCGACGCGACGGACTGCAAGATACGCGTGCATCCCTAAAGAACTCCGATGCAACGGAAGTGGTTGAACTTATCAGTCAGAAGGCAATCGAACTGCTACATACCCCTTCAAAGACGCTCTGTCAACCTCACCGGTTTAGCTAAACAGCCAGTAGGCCATCGAACTTCTACATACCCCCAAGAAGATGCCCTGTCGCCCTTACCAAAGTACTCGAACCCCGTGACAGCGAAGAGCAGCAGCAGCAGGCCTTCCTTCAAGAAGCTCTTCGAATCACGGGGCCCAGTCCAACACCAAGCACAGGACGACGGGCACGAAAACGCGGACGGCGACAAGCACGGCAGCAGCAGCAGCCAAGGGGAGCGGGCAAAGATAGCGTCGGGAGAGAGAGAGAGAGAGAGAGAGAGAGATGTACTGGCGCTCAAAACAGTTGATTTGTTCACCCCAGATATGAATAGCATAAGATAGGAATGACACGGCACACAGCTCGTGATGTACGGGACGATTTGGTCCACCGTATATGAACCAGCGAGAAGCTATGGTTTATACTACACACATCGGGTATGCAAGTCGCAACTGCGTCAAAATTTCGCGATGCAGACATGGAAGGGGGGCACTTTACTCACCTTGCTGAGCTTCTCTCCTGCATGGTTGGCGACAACATGTCCCACCTCGTGCCCCAGCACCGAAGCCAAGGCGTCCTCGTTAGGGGTAACTTCGAGAAGGCCGGTAAAGACCACCACCTTCAGGAGGTGCGGCGAAACATGAGTACACAGCGGGAACAACTTCGCGTGGTGAAAATCACTTCCGCGCCCGCTCCACACGGCAAGCCGCATTGGCCTATCAGAAAGGAGCGTGCTTGCCGCCAATCGCGTTGGTTAATCAGACAGGAGGGTGTAATAGGGCCCATCCCGTACGCTACTCGCGGTCGAGAGTAAGGTGTGCAAGGGTTTGTCCAAGGGCCACAAGATGTTGCTGAGTCTTGTATCGAATACGACACAACTATCGCACGTTTCGAAGGATAATCAAAACACGCGCACCAAGAATGGCGTGCCTGCTTGTGTCTCATGTTGCGAGATTCTCGACATCCGCGACAACCAACAACTCTCAACATGAGTCAAAGCCTCCGAAAACCAACACGTCAACAACCGCACCAACATCTCCTTACACACCGAAGCGTACAAAAGGTATACTCAATATGTAGCACCCCGGAAGGCACAGAAGAAAAAATGGTGAGTAACTACCGATTTCGACTCGATCACCTTGCCGCCGGGCAGCACAAAGGCGTTCATGCTGTCGTCTCTCACGACGATGAACTCCCACGTGCACCCCTTGAGCCCGCTTGCCTGTGCGATCCGTTTGCCGATCCGCTCCACCGTTTGCGTAGCCTGCGATTCGATTCGATTGCATTGCGCAGCACCAGGCCAAAGCCAAAATAAACTTGTCTCAAGAGCTAGGACACGTCCTCTTACACGATATTTTGCCGACAAGGAAAGAGGCACTCTTTGGGACCCATCTCCCCCCGTACATGAATTGCGCTGCGGGTGAAGGTGGCTTGATGGCGTACCGTAGTTGTGCGTGTCATGGCACCCATCAGTGTTATGGCAACGGGGCGTGCAACAAAAGCCTTACACGGCATAATATAATTCCATTTCCACACACGGTGCGATATCAACCATATCAAACCAGCGTAGGACGAAAATATGTGTGCTTCCGCAAGGAACCGGTAACCTCCGGGCCACGTTTAACTGTATGTAACGCCCGGCTGTGAGAGTGCCGGTAGGGATCAATTCAGGCGCCATTCCTTTCATGTACGTATATCGTTCCGTCGAGGTGTGCACGTAGAGACGGCCCCAAAGCACACTGTCATTGCTTCCGTATCGCACCCATCGATGCCATCGCAGCGGAGTGTGTTGGAAATCTAGAACGAAATGGTTTAATTGCATTAACGCACCGTTATCGGTGATATGGCACCCATCGGTGTTATGGCACCGGGGTTCGACAAAAAGCAATGGTTTAACCCTTACGTGACTGGGTTAATTTTATTTTTCTGTTTTTTTCCCCACAACTGGCTCTCTGCGGTCTAAGATCTTCCAAGCATGCGTGTACACCCGTAAATTACGGCGGCAAGGATGGTGCAGCGGTGGCCATGTGTGGGGCTCACAGGGATGGGGACGCGGTATATGTAAGGGTGACGAACAGGAGTACAGTAGTACTACTGCTGTACAGCAGTAGCAGCTATGCGGAGAGAAATAGACTGCTGTACAGCAGCAGTAGTTTCAGAGCAGGTGTGCATGCCTGTCTCCGACAGCAACCATCCGCACAGAGGATGTACCTGTGCAACCAATACCTGTTGGCACATCTTCTCCACCTCATCCTTGGACAGAGCATACGGCAAGCGCAAATGCTAGCGGCGCTAGACGCGAAGACGCTGACGGGAAACCGCCTCACAGAAGCGCCAGATCGACAAAGAAACGGCCCGCTCCATCAGAGAATCGAGACCATCATCCACTATCGCACAAAATGCATAAAAATCGTGATAAATTTAACTATTCTGTACTACAAATAGAGAGCTGTGATCGGAGCTGTAGTCCCGAAAACCCTTGCCTTTGAGCGAAGTTTTGCACACAGCAGACGAACCACCCTTCACTCCCAATATTGGAAACCACACGCACCGCAATCACAACAACATCAAGCACCGAGGCAGTACGTTAGCATCGGCTCCGGTGTGCGCTTTCTCTGCTCCCCCACGCGGATGCGGCACCGGGTTGATCACATGTTCAGGGTGCTGTATGTACCCTCCAGTGGTGGTATTTTGCATGTGAATCTTGGACAGCCGGTAGGCAGTAGATTGGATCTGGAAAGGATATCTGCCCCACGTCAGAGAGATTAGGCATGGGTGAATAGTATTGTACTATGTGAGTCCTGTGCGCATTGCTGATAAGCGTGCTTTTGGGGTGGGCTGCCTGTGTCTCCCTGCTGGTCTCTATGTATGTTTTTTGCTCTTAGCCGAGGCACAACGGCGATCTTTCGGCACGCAAAGTGATCGGAGCTGAGAACGGAGCTGAATCGGCCTGTAGTCACATAAGGGTTACGAGAGATTGCACCCCGGTGCCATAACACGCACTCATGCTGTATACCGAGGAATATTACAACTGAAGGACAAAGGCGACAAACACCATCATCCGTGTTGAAGGCCGAACCACGTGTGCAACGGGAGAGCTACAAAGCGTGCATATTGGCCACAGCACGCAGAGCGAAGATCTCCAAAGCCGAGCAACTTCAAGGCAGTGCAAACACTCAATGAAACCAACAGACGGGCGTTGACAACCAACCATGTAAAGGATGCCCCGGCAATTTCCCAAGCCCCAACCGTACACGAACAGGCTTCACGCCATTTCGACGTGGCTGCGCTATGGTAACTAACACGAAACTAATCCTAACGATAACCACAAGGTCACTGCCAATGATTTGGTTGGACTTTCCCCCGTGCCTACGTTGTGCCCACGTCATTTATCAAAACCACGGGGACACACCTGGTGTGTGCTGGGCAGGATGTTAGGGCCGCACTCCTCCTTCACGGAGGCCCAATTACTCTTGGAGATGCCCTTCAAGAATTCCCCGTCTGCGCCGGAAAGGGAACGCACGCAGTACAGGCACGGAAACTGATTGCTGAAAGGAAAAACAACTCGTGCTGTACACGCTGGCCCGGCGTGTCAAAGCAAGAGAGGATTTAGCGATGTGATTTCTTCGAAAGGGTGGTGCCCCACAGGCGTGCTCACGAGCAAGGGGCGGCCTGCGAAGGGAAGAGGCGGCGACACCAACGACGACGACGCAAACCCTAAAATACGTGCGACATGCACGCAGCACTGCTGCTCGGGCGCCACAACACGTGACGAAACGCGTAGGGCTCACATATCAGAGCGAACAAAACAGCCCGATTCGGGGGCCACACATCATCCGGGACGTTGCACACTCGCCCTGAGAGCAACCATGCTTGTAGATATCTGGCGTCTTTCCAACCACGGAAAAAACACATGAGGTGCGATCGTCGAGGGACGCCATTGGCTTCACTATCCCCTGTGCAAGGGGATATATCTCGCACCCGATGAGCTATGAGCTATGAGCCTTGAAATGCTTCGTCAGCGAGGGCCCCGACACCAACGGTACCATGCCCGGTGCCCGCAAGCCTCTGCCACAACAAGAAATTGCAATCCCCCGAAGGCAGCCGTTTGACAAACGCCTTTCAGCTCACCTCTGGAGATAATCATGAACCGTTTCCGATGCGTGTAGGGCGCCTCATCCTGGTTCACCTGCCAGATCACCACCCCCGCCAACACGGCCGCACCGCACGCTCCCGCGGTCCCCTTATTGGCCTTCCGCACCCTCTGCTGTTGGCGCTCCTGCCACCGGTGTTGCCGCGATGCTCTGCCTCTACCTCGGGAGGAGAATTCTCGAGTGAGGGATCGCAGCGCCCATTGCTGCTGCTGCTGCTGTCTGCAAGCTTGTGGCCTGCACCGGCAGGGCGAATTTCAGACCGGTGGAGGAGTAACCAACCCTTGAAGCGGTTTCGTCCTCGTGTTCGGACGGAAGATGCAGACGAAGTATGCTAATAGCTCCGGGTTAGCAAATAAGTTGCAGTAGCACATTACACTTTCCGGAAAACATGCGACATGGCTTTGCGCCCGGTACCTCTGGGAAGAGAGGCCTGGATACATCCAAAAGGACCTACCCTCACAACGCTGTTTGCGTTGCAAGAGGGTTGGGTGCCGTGTTCTGGAAGGTGTCAAGTACTGGAATTGATCCCCAATTTTGTGGTACGATAGAGTAGTGGTACATGGTAGACGAGAGCTACGGCATGATCATAAGCGTGCGAGACAGAGGGATATTTCACCGTCACGACCGGCTGTAGGCGGAGCACTGCACACCAGCGCTTCCGCGTGTATATGTTGTATTCAAATGTACGCGCCATGCGTTGTTGGCAGAGGCTATACGTGAGAATGAACAGAGAGCGAGAAACCTTGTTCGGGATGAAACCTACACGCTGCAATCGTCACCGCACCGCACATGCCCTGTGCCCTATAGCTACTGCTGCTGCTGACGCTGCTGCAGGTCACCCACTCGTATGCACACCGAAAATTAACGCTGACTCCATCCATACCTGAGAGGAGTGCGGGTCCCGTGTGCGCTGCATTTTTCGCTAAAAACACGACGGGTTGCCGGTGCTCTGGCTACCCGGTTCCCCAAAGATATCACCTTAATCATCGAGGGCCTAAGGTATCACGGCGAGGAAGCTACCGACAGACCAATGGCCCAGAGGAAGACAACCGAAAGGGCCGTGCGGCGTTGTGCGCCCTATGCGGCGCAATCGGGAAAAATTGGAGTTCCAACTTGATGTCGAAGGTTCTCCAGCCAGGGATCATTCATCATTCCTGTTCCGGGTTCGGGGGACGGGTCGGTAAGATCGGGAGAGCCCTTACAATAGAGCTTCTCGAATCGCGCGCGACACTGCACAGAAGAATCTGCGGCTAACTCCGCATAGAGTAGCCTCGTTGTTTTGTCTGGACGGCAAGGTATGTCCTCAGGGGTGCAGTGCAACTCCATCTTTCCATCGGAGGAAGGGGGCACGCCGGTGGTACGTTTGGTGTGATGCGACCCACGCGAAAATCTGTCTTCCCCTTGAACACGTCAAACATGTAAGAAGAGCTAGAGTTCCCAGTACTGTTGCATCATCACCATTCAGGCTCAACAAGAGTGAACTGAATGCCGCATGTAAACTTCATTCCACCCGGCTTTTTGCACCGGAAAATGCACATGTACAGTACTCGAAAAATGTGAAATTCTCACAGGTGGTCCTTCACCACATCCGTACCTGACAGGCAACACAACAGGACGACAATCTACGAACTCCGAACCCACCGACTTCGGATGGCCCCTCCTGCCGCATCGCTCTGCTCCCTTCCCCCCCCCCCCCCCCCTCTCTCTCTGCAATAACTGGCAGTATTCTTTTCGCTGAACGAACAGTAATAGACTAATAATACCGGCATGTACAAAGAAAGAAAGGCATTTCATGACCTCCATTGTACGAGCCGAGTCTTTCTCTTCATCCCCCGTCGTCAAGGCGGAGCATCCAAGCACGCAACGATAGTTTGGTACCACACGATGGTACTGTCTGCATCCCTCTCCATGCGGCCTTGCCTGACGTTTCCATCCCCAAATTCCCCTTCCCGTTCCCCACTTCCGCATGTTGGTGCTTTCATAACTTCAAGCTGGAGACGTCGAGCCTTTCCGCTCAACCTAGCCGCCCTAAAACCACCACCACCATTGCGTACCGGAAGTTTGGAACCAGCCTCGGACGGGTGGTCCTGTCCTTGAACTTCACCCTCCTCTTCCTCTCCCGCGTCCCGTGCACGCTTCCGTTCCTGGCCATAAGAAGAAGATGGCACCTCCGCAGAAGGTACCGCAGCAGACGTCTGTGGGGATAAAGAAGGCTTGCCTGGTGCCGCCTCGTGGTGCCCTGCGCATGATTGACTCCCGTTCAGAGTGCTGCTACGGCCGGGACGGAGTTGGAGATCACCTGGAGGCATGACACCCTGTGAGACCGTCTTGATACTACCGCCGTCTTCTCCCACCGAAACTCCACCACCACCAATACCACCACTGCCACCAGGCTCGGTTGGTGCATCGCCTCCGTTGGCAGGGAGAGCCGCCACATCTCGCTCATTGGCTGCTACAGATTTCGGTCCCTGGCTCGCCGTAAAGGTGTTGAGGTCTGCTTGACGTGGCTGCTGTTCGCCTTCTTCTTGGTTGTGCCCTATTTTGGGATCAGTGGGCTCTGGCGACACCAGCATCTCCATAGAAGCTTCGTGCTGACGCTCAGGTGTATTTTGGGTATCCCCGGCAGTCACAGGAATACCATCCTCTGTCGGTTGACTGAACGTTCAGCACAACAAGAAGCACGGTAGTGCAGAGAGAGCAGGTTGGTTGATACCGTACTGCACTATCGCCTGGGTTCGGTGATGTTCTAGGCGTCTCGGGGGGCGGCAAGCAAAACAACAAACACCCCGCAGAACACGGACGGGCTCTGTTCTATACTCGCTTGCCCGGTCATTCGGCCATCTACCGTGCACTCGTTTCGAGGCGCCTACATTGTATTCATTTTCCATATATTCGAGGTATGCATGTGAGGGGTAATTGGCAGCAAGAACACGTGCTGCTCCGGGAGCTCGTAGAGGTTGGCGGACTCAGGAAGTCGGTGCATTCGAGCACTGCTAGCACATGCCAGACGACCCTAATCAGGTCCATTGGAAATTGTACGTTCAATGACGTATGTATGATGTTAGAGCCAAACACAACGAAGTTTATTGCAGTGAACTCCGACGACCCTAACTATCGCTCCTGTGGAATCCGCATACACATGGACATTGATCACCACTAGGTTAGAGATATGCTCTTTCCGTACGCCGTTCCTACCTGCTGCTGTTGGTCTCTCCCTCCAACGCTTCAGCGCCTGTCTGACTACCAGTGACCACCACCTCCAGTTCGGGTCCCTGGCAAAAGTGCATCATCAGCTCCGGGCTCCCACCGCCGTCTTCGCAACCGCGGTCGTAGTCGTTAGCCGATGTCGGCGTCGATGGTGGTGGCGGCGACTGCAGGGACTCAAATGCGTCAGGATGTTCGGCGTTTGCATCGTTGGGTTCAGGGGACTGGTCCCCCTGTCCCACTTCGGCCTGTGGGGTAGCTCGGACAGGAACGCTCGCGTGCAACGGAGGCGCACCCGTCTTTCCATCCCTGCCGTGCCGAAAACTTGCCTCCCGCACAGTCCTCTCTTCGGACGTGTCCCGAACCTTGGCGCTATTGCTGCCCGACGCGTCATAGGCCGTAGGCGTTCTGGCGTCTAGAGCCCCGCCAAATAAACCCCACGTCCGAGCCAACATATCGAAGGCTGCCGAGAGAGGAGTAAAAGACATATCCGGACGGGTCAGTGACCAACTCATGGTAAAAGCGAGGCAAGGGTGGGGAGGGTGGGGCGCAGAGGCGCACTTCTCCTGTTTAACGTAGCTTCATACCTTGAACAGTCCCCCATGTGATGGGTGCTTGAGGGTCGTTGTTGAGACCGGCGCCTTGTTTGGCAGTGGTGGCACAGTACCGAATTTACGGGGAAATTGTCTGCTCGGTAGGCATCCTTGAACAGGAAATCGCATTTAAGCGTGGTACCTGGGGGCGCTGCGTCCCTTGATGGAGGGTTCATCAAGTCCTCGTGGTCGAGCATGGGACCCTGTTCAAGATCCGAGTCGTACTCTCCTTGAGATCGATGGTGAACCTAATTGTCGGGAGACTTTCGGATGAAGGAGCTGCAACAAGTGTATTTGCTGTTGGTTACTTTGCGTTGGGCAGAGGAAGCGCGCGCGAACTATCATGAAACTCTCTTGCAACCACACGCACGACAATACAAACCCGACAGCAGGGTTTCAATATTCCAGCTTATCGTTGTGGCTTAATGAGCTGGGTGATCAACCTACAACGTCGAGGACAGGTGGGATGTCAATACCGACGACGCCCCATTCTCGGTTGATCTGGGTTGCGCCTAGGGTTACGGAGAGACGTGCCGACGACGAACTAAACACTGCCCTTTCGTATGACCACGACAGGCAAGAAGAGCGTAGCTTGCTAACCTCAGAACCGTCTTCGCGGTGGCGACCCCTCGGTTGGACCTGTTCCTCCGCCGGCGCTTGGCCATAGAAATCGGGACCACAGTCGGACGCTGAGCTGCTGCCGCAACGAGCACAGATCAAGCGGAGAAACGAGAATATCTCGATCAGACAGGATTTATCCTAAGCCATCACATCACGACCTTGCCAAAATTTCGGTTTGGATATGTTACATAGCGCGTTGTTCATCAATTGGGAATGCAATGACCACTTTTTGCGCGGCCTGTGTATTGAAGGGAATGAATTTAGCTTTCGCCCATTGCATTGTTGAAACATCTCTGGTCCTTTTGCGTCGATTGCCGATCCCCAGAATTAGACGACCCGGGTTCGATGTTTCTCTCTTCAGGCCGACAGCCACAATCCTTACATCAAATCTGTGTAATCCTTCCACAAAAACGTTTGTCGCACAATCGGCCTTCAAACCGTGAGCGAAGGCGAGGAAAGGTTATCTTGTTCAATAATTGTTTGCCACATCACCAACTCCCGGCTCATACTTCGTGATTTTGCCCAATACCTCTCGAGCGCGTACTGACGGTTGCCGCGAAAATCTGATGGCATGTTTTCCTTCCACAGCCCCGCCGGTGTTGCTGGGGGGCTTGAGCGGTTGCCGTCACGCAGTCCTCCGGCGATAGAAAACCTAGGTAGTCCGCCGGCATTTCCGGACTCACGCACTCCGAACTGGGTACCGGTAGTGTCGCGGTTGTTGTCGTAGTCGTTGGTAGGAAAGACCAGCCCCCCCACGGACGAGGCCGCGACCGTCGTTGTTGCAGACGATGTCGCGGTGAGAGGACCATCAACCACCGGCGAACCGTCTTGCGCAACCGCGAATCCGTCGTTGAAGAAGCGCATAGTGTGCTCTGCCTAACCGAACAAACCATCGGAAATAGGGGGTTATCTGAAGCCAACCAAGCCCGGGCACGTTTAGGTGCCAGCGGAGATGATCGTCTTCCCACACTCACTCCAGAAGTCGGGGACTACCAGCAGCAGTACCCGGCTGCATATAGCTCCGTCTATTTAGAAAAAGCACGCCGTTTTCAGACACCGAGATACGTCCAGGGAACTAGTCGTCCATGGATGTACTCCGGGGGTCTGGCAGGAAAATGTCGGTGCACGCCGTGCTTGCCAAATATCCTATCCCACAAACTACAGTAAACGGCAGAAGTAGCTCACCGGATCGCTTGCGCGGCCCAACTGACCCATGACCCTTGGCGTCCTGTTATGATCAGCGTTCGTACCGTCGCTATCAGCAGCAGCACTAGCAGTACCAGCAGAACTATCCCCGGGAAGCGCGTGACCTCTGTATCGGCCCTTTTCCACGCGTGGTCCAGACGAGTTGCTAACGCCATCGCCTATGCCAGCACATTCACTACCAATAGGCTCCTCCTCGTATGAGTTTCCAAAGTCTTGTTGCTCGGCTGTGCCCCCCCCCCCACCAAACACAAGCTGCCTCCTCTCGAGAGGTAAAAGTGTGTGCCTGTGTGGGCAATCATCAGGCTGTGTGGGGAGTAGTAAACCTCCGTCACGAAAGCTCGCCGTCGGCCGCTGCTGGCGGGGGTGATGGCGCAGCGGCCTCTCAAACTCATGATCGTCGCTAGAACCTCGCCTGGGGCCATCGGTTGGCAACGCCGCCCGAGGAATACGTGCCATACCATTGCTGCCTTGTTGCTGCCGAACAGTGGCGTTGAATGGGGGCGTCACCTCGAGGTCAAGCGTTCCCGGCTGGAAATCTGGTGTGGTATCAGGCCCCAGCGTGGTCACATTGGACGGCGGGGAGGTTGGTTTTTCCGCCGTCGTGTGCTCTGCTGCCGCCGAGCCGGCTACGGTACGCTGCAACGCGGACACCTTGTGGGTGGAGGGAAGCTGTTGGGTCCATCGAGACTTCAGCCGGGATACGTCGGCGGACTGCTGACCAGACGGAGGCAGCGGGAGAGAAAGCGGCCAGCATTGGTATTTTGACGGGGGGCGAGAACCAAGGAGAGGGAGGCAGACAATAGCAGTTCTTCCCGCAATGAAAGGGTCTATGAAACAATCTACTGAGACTTTGGCCTCACACATTCGGGCAGATTACGAGTGACAGAAGAAGCTTCCGGCATGTGGCTTCCTTAGAATGCAACATTGACGAGGTGCTGTGTACGTCGTAGTGTATTGGAACAGACGTCCCACAAACCTCACAAACTCGCACCTGGTTCAGCGCAGAGCTGCTGGCGCGGCCCGGTCGAGATACGGGCGCCCTGGCTCGATCGGCAGCGACCTTTGCAAAATGCTTGGCTCGAAGCTCTTTGACTTTCTGGGAGCGCTGGACCCTTTTCCTGCATTCACACCCACCGATGGATGAAGCAAGGCCGGGGAGAGGGCGGCCAAGGTTTCACAAATTGGTCGGCCTAAACCATACCCGCTCACATCATTCACATCCCCAACTGTTCAGATACTCTTACCGTCGTGCAGGGGGTACTCGGAATCTCAACATATGATTTCCAGACCTAACCAAGCGTGACCCTATTCCTTCCAAGGCTCGGATGGTGCGAGACGTTTCTGCCGATACGACATGAAAGCTCCAAAGGCGGTGGGATTTTCCATTTTGGCGTGACTGTGCTGTTTGAAGCGATTGCACCAGCCTGCCCGCAGGGGACTTACCTGCCCGATGTCATCCAATTCATCCTTCCGCCAACAACCCTGCCTGGTAGTGCCGGAACGTCGACCCCCTGACTGTCTGACAAACTCCCTTTTTCTCTCTCTGCTCTGGTCATCGATGAACCTGCGGCCGGGGGTTCCGTGAAAGCTTCAGCGAAATACCCCCCCCCCTCCCGCGTGAAATGAGACCGATCCCCCCACCTGTGAGGTTTGGGAGTGAGTTTGTCGAGGTAGCGTTGGGTCCTGTGGCATGGAGCTGTGACGCTGCTACTGTACAGAGCATGGGGGTTTGCTGTGTGGTATATCCTATGAGCTTGGGGGCTTGGGTCCTACAGTACAGTTCACACCCTATCGGAAAAGTTCCAGATGGAGTATCACACAAGAAACGGTGTGTTCGCTGGGTGTGGCGCGCAGGAGCGCAAATAATGTATAATATAGTCGTGTGCCTGCTGAATGTGAAAATAAACATGGTTAGCCGGGATGGCGATCAATCCACGGCATATCTGGCTCTACACAGCAAACGCAAAGATGATGACCAGCTTCTGGTTCTTTCTTGTGAAGAGTAGCCTGCACCGGCAATAACCTGGCACATCACCCCTTCCCGGCATCGTAGCGATGCGAGATCTGTGGTCTACGACATGCATTCACATGATGAGTACAGCCCCCCCGACAACGAGAATGCCTCAAACAAGGAATGAACCGCTGACGATAGGGTATGTTGTCACTACTGTACAATTGCCCGGTTATCACAACGCGAAGAACATGCGACGCAACGGTGGTTCACGTCGTCACGAATATTGTGAGGGTGACACAAGTCCAAGTTGTTGTAGCCCCCCGAACAAAAATGGCATATCTTAGACATAAAATGTGGGTCGAGTTCTACTGCAGCAGTGAAGAAAGTGACCTGGCCCGCCTGCCATGAGCGCATGTCCTCAACACTCGAAAAATGTTCAATATGGGAGATGGCTTGACATGCGAGCAGTGCCGACGGCTTCCGAGAATGTTCCGGTTCTCTTGTGACATATTTGCACGGGACAGAGTGGAAATCCGCCAGGCGAATCCTATGCAGTGCTTCGCGTGCTACGGCTGCGATAGGGAGAGAGAGGCCAATTGTGGGGACTCATGAAAAATGGCGGGCATCGCTGCCTAAACGAATGTTGTGGAAAAGAGAGTGCTTCCCGCGTCTTTCGCAGTCAGAGCAACACGATAAATGAATGCCTCCCTCCGAAGAGTGAACTCACCAACGATCTGGCATGGCTGTGTGAAAAAATGGAAGAGATTTCGACACCAGAAACAGAACCAGTGGAATGAACCCTTTGCCTCCCCAATCTGCAAGGTTTAAATTCAGAAATGCTCACACCAGTAGCAATAAAGGCCGCCTCATGATAGCACCATCGTACTTCAACAACGCAGGTGTGAATTAAGCACTTAGTTGTACGCACTGCGTAACTGCTCCTGGTCGGGGATCTTCCTCGAAACAACAGCACACGAAAATAAACCTCACACCCAACAAGCGCGACCTCCGTGCCAACACACTCCGCACGTTGACCTTTTGTACAAGCCCACCAAGACTGTGGTACAAAGGATGTAAAATACAGGGTACACAAGGCAAGGCTGCAAATAAAATTGGTCAGAGAAGCGCACCCGACAAACCCCTACAAACCACCCTGGAACATTATTCGGGAAATGTCAAAATAATGTTTCACGCGTATGTACCTCTCGCCTAAATATGCAACCACGAAAACCAGCTGCGTCCCTTCTTCAACTGTGCAAAATTCAATCCAATCAACAGTTCCCGTCCTTTGCATGACACCCCACCTATCGTTGGGCCTTCAAGGCACACGAATACTTAAAATCACTAAGAAATCATAAAATCGACACAACAGCTGTATCTTCTCCTTTCGCCTTGAAACCTGCATGCGAGGTAAGCGGGCAGAAGCCAATGGACGTGCTACAAGGGAGGCCTCCCTTCAAGAACGCCTTGCCTGCTTGCCACGCAACATCCGCCCAAGAACACTTGGCAGCGTATTCAAAACATGTAAGCCTGTCTACATACTCCCGATAGATATGCCCCCCTCGATTTCGACACGGCTGCGTTCATGCTCCCCTCAACAGGTCGCTCGCAAAGGAAATTTTATCATAAAGCTCATGAAGAGATACAGTTGTGGAACAATCTACCCACAAAACAAGTACGTCGGACAGTACTGCATGCAAAGTTTTCATACGAAACGTGAAAGCACAAAAAAAAGACCCACTCTCAGGCCTACACAGCACGCTCATATCGCCGGTATCTCCGCTGTCCATGGAAGCGGCCGTTGCATTTTCATCTCCCAAAAAAGCTCTTCAAGCTGTGCCTCCTGCTGGAGGTAGCGCTCCTGCCGCTTTCGCTTTGACCTGAAAAATTGGACATATTCCGGGCGGCAGCCGACACAAACGCGTTCAACACGTGTTCGACAAGAAACGGGCAGCGCCAGCATGGCGTCAGACGTGCGGTCTCCTGTCATACATGGAGAATATCTCTCATGCCCATCGTCGCCAGGCGCTGTCCACCTGAGGGGCGCAAATCGTCGATCCGACAATTAACCCAATCACGCTCCTTCAGATAACTGCCCCACGTATCAGTAAGAAGTAAAGCCTCCTTTCTCGGCGCACACGTACTTGCACGTTCGTACGTGCACGACGAGAACGCCAACCTCGTGGGTGGCACGATTTTCAACCCCCACCCGCAACAACAAGAGTAAGGAAGTTTATCGCCATTTTCTCCATACATCATGCATGTTTCAGGGAAAAACAATACGTCGGGGGTAAGAACGAGTTAAGCGTCATTCGAAACCTGGGTCAATGGGTGCTCCAACTGCTGTCCCCAAGACTTTCTGGTCACGTACCTGCCGCCGACGGAGCTCGTTCACTTCCCGACGACCTACGGCTGCCGCTAGCGCTCGTCCCTCTCCCTTTGTACGATCCCCCCCCTGCCCGGTTGTTCACGTATTCTTGGACCTGTCGAAAAGACGGCGCGAGCGGGGTTCGAGAATGCATGTGGTGTTGGGGGGGTGGCGAAAGGGGCGTCGTTGGAGTTGGGTTCGTCGCTCGCATCTCGGCACATAGAGCGGCATGGACGGTGGGACCGAGAATGTGGACCACGCTCGCGTCACCCACTATGTTTGCCATCGTTGAGTTGGGAGAAAGGAGAAGCCCATCTCACCCATCTCCTGACCATGGTGTTGTATGATGTGCGGCACGTGTGAACCACACATGCGTGGGGTGTCGTCAAAATGTAAGTGTTATTTCGTACTTTGATAGATGGACGTAATATTGGCTCAAATGCAGTCGATGAACCGCATTCCCGAGAGCTGTTGTACCTCACGTTGCGCAAGCGGGTGGAATCATAACAAGCACAGCTTGAAGTAGGCACGACAGTCTAAGAGTCGGGTTCCCAGCAGCAAACAAAGGCCAGCCCCAAAAAGGGGCCACACGATGCTGCTCTTCGACTCCTGGCCTATTGGCGCAATCACCACCTCTTCACTGCACTGCAACAGCGCCCCATACAAACGGCACATAGACTTCACATGCCGCTTGTTGTCGGATGAATAAACTCACATTGGTCTCCCGCGTCCCGTCGGTGTTCACCACAGTCCGTTCCGTGCGGGCAAAGAGAGTCCTCGACCTCCCGTCTACCACCGTGTGGCTGGACATCATGGAGGCCCGTGTAGCTCCACCTCCAGCCCCTCGACTGCTACCACTGCCAACGCTAAAGCCGCGGCTCTGACCCCTGCCAGAACCTTCCCCGTCTACGCCCAAGCTGACCCCAGCGCCGAACATGCCTCCTCCCATAACGGTGGAAAACATGCGGTCCACCTCCTGCAAAAGCCCGCCCATGCTGCCGTCAGAGCCGCCCCGAGAATTGCTGCTGCTGCTGCGTCTGGGTCCCACAGAAGTCGGTGGTGGCGGCGCCCCGTCACGCGGCTTCGCCCCGACACGAAGCTGAAGCACCAACCCAGAACTACCGCGACTTAGACCGGGTCTCTCGTGATGCTGCGGCCGCTGCTCCTCCTCCTGCCCACGTGTCTCCTTCGGGTAGTAGGTCCCGTTCAGTCGCTCGGGCTGGGGAGGTACGTAACGCGTTTCCGTTGGGTAAGGCGTCTTCTTAGAGCCGCGGCGGAAAATACTGCGCCCGGAGGTTGTCGCCACTCTGCGCTCCGGGGTACGCGACTCGGTTGTTGCCACGCTGCGTTCAGGGGTACGTGGCTCATAACGGGCAACGGCAAGGTCCTGGTCGCCGTCCTCCGACTCCGAGCTATCCGAGGATTCCGAGCTAGGCGGGTAGGTGCTACGGGGCGCCCGGGTAGCCGGCGGAAGTGTGCTTGCGGGCTCGGAGCTTGGCGGGTAGGTGCTCGGCGGCGCCACGGCCGCCGGAGGCAGAGCGTACGACTGAGCTCCGTGGTGTGGGAACCCACCGCCGCCGTGATGGGCGACCATGCCAAGGGGCGCGACCGTGCCAAGAGGCGCAGCTGCCTGGTGCGGAAACCCGTTGGGGTAAGTGCCTGCCCCCCCCGCCGGGGGCGAATCCTGCTGCAACGCCAGTTCCGTCGAAGGGGGCGCCGAGGAAGGTTCGGGGGGTAGGGATGGCGCTACGAGAGCTGAAGCGGGAGCGCCGTAGCTGCCCGCGCCACGGTCATCGTAGTCGTACGCGCCCCAGGAAGGCGGCGCGTGCTGTTGGTACTGCTGTTGCTGCTGCTGAAAGGGATACGGCTGCTGGGCGAACTGGTTGCCGTAGGCGTAGGCGCTATCAGGCGGCGGGGGAAAGTGGCCGCCTTGATGGAACTGTTGTTGATGCATGAACGGCGAGGGGGCCTGCTGGAACGGGTATGGCTGCTGCTGCTGCTGCTGCTGCTGCTGATGTTGCATCTATGTATCGAGGAACACGTGCGGGTAGGGAGGGGAAGGAAGAGGCATGTCCGCATTAATTGATTGCGCCTCGAGGAGAAATGGTGGTATGAATAGCTCAAGTTAAGCCTCCCATGTTGCTTGAGAAGAGCTCTAAACTCTCCGTGCCCTGCTACGGCAAGACTGCAACAGGACGAGGGAAGTGTGGAGTTTCCCGATCATGCCAGGCGACCGAGGCAACACCCTCGCCAAAGGCGTCGTCATAGTTCGAGATGAACCCATGCCGCTTTGCGAAGGACATCGTGCAAAAATCCGCCAAAACACAAATGCATAGTCTTCAAGGTCAACTCGCACAAAGGCTGGCATCTAGGAGTACCCCGCAACCAAGAGACGTACCGTATATGACACAAGATAACACACCCCCTGGACCGATTTTCAAAGCTCGATTACTCCACGACGAAGAGGATGCATAAATGAAACAATACGTTTTCGAACAGCTCTCGACGAGACGGTTCCAACGCCGCCGTTTTCGGCGCTGTGACTCTTCCTGCTGTTGAGAAATCGAGCTTTGAAAATCGGCCAAGGGGGTGTGTTATCTTGTGTCATATACGGTATGCTCGTGTAGAAAGCCGCAACAACCGTGTCGGTTCGTAGCATACCGACCTGTACGGCACACTGCTTTCCCACACCTACCTCTGGCCAGCTGCGTGGACGTCACTCAGTATTGAAACGGGCGATCACGCCGCAATAATACACGCCACGTGCAGCAACCACGGCTGGGCACCAACCGCCAAGAAAAAAACGTGGGCGAGCAACAAACCCCATCACCGCCCAAAGGGCAAGTGAAGCTCTCACCCAAGCCTGGTCGTAGCCACCACCAACGCCCTGGTCGTAACCGCCACCGACTGGCATGCCTTGCCATGCCCCTTCACCGCCGGGGACACCCCACCCGCCATGCGCTTGCTGAGAAGCAGGCGCTGGAGGGTAGGTGGGTGCAGCAGGAGGGGGAGTGGGCGCAGGCGGGGCGGTAGGGGCGACGCCAGGGCTCGAGCGTTTGTCTGTTGCGGCGGAACCAGCCGTGCTAGCCGTCGGCGGGTGACCCTCGCGGTCGTACTTTTCTTTCCGCTTCGGATCTCCCAGTACAGCGTACGCCTGGTTGTGGGAACAGGAGAGCACAGTAGCATCACATGGGGGGTGCAGTAGCGAAGGACGTCTGAACTACCTAGCAGCAACAGTTGTTTACCTTTCCCATTATACGATTATACGGCACAGCAGCAGCACCACCTTTCCCATGACACGGCTGTCTCTATAAAACGATGATCGGACACCGCGAAGGAAGAGACTCTATTGCTGTAACGCTACGGAAATCCGCACGTTGACAACATCCAGACGCGTCAACGAAGACGATGCAGTGCTACCATATCCCGCTCCACAGGCAGCGAACGGCGGCGTGCCCGACAATCCCGTCCCATAGGAAACCAACGATACGTTCTCATTGCAGAGTTCATCCCGTTCAACGCCCCCCCCCCCGCGGACACCCCCAGCCCTACTCCGAAATAGTTCACAGTTGTGTGCGCACCTCTGTGACTAGCCTGAACACCTCTGTTGCCTCCTCTCTTGTCTCAGGTGTGTTTTTGTCCTGTGTGCAGAACATAGCGGGCTTTAGCATCAGGAAAAGATGTTGGAATAACAACTTACTTGTTGTCGGCAAGTTGAACAGAGACGCTGAAGATTCTACAAGAAAAACACTTGAGCTCGACACAGCAGTCGCGCTTCGAGCAGCGGCCATTCGAAAGAACACCGCCTGTGCAGTTCGACGAAATGTGACTGAAAAGCGGGAGAAGGGGAGACGTTCTGAACTCGTGAATTTCCAGAAAGTGCGGAGCAATCAGTTGCAGCATAGTTGTGTTCGCATTGGAGTGGTTAGCACCTCCCTGCTGCATCTGTAAGCCACTGCGTGCACTCAATCAAGACCCAGCCAGTCGCCGATCAATTGCCGATACTTCTGATGTTCAGGAGAAGAAACATGTCAATCAGGAACATCCCATGATCCTGAATGCAGGTTCGTTCGTGCAACACGTCACAGCAGCAGTGTTACAGGTGAAACACACACAACAGAGACACTTCAACGAAGCTGGGTAGGCAAATTCAACAGAACCGGAGAGGGCCTTACCATAGCCCTGGCTGTTTGCTTTCGGAAGGCAAGTACCTCGAAGCGAATAATCACACAACACTACCGATCGATGCCCCTGACACACAGTAGTAAGGGGCTGCTTCAAATGGCGAGTTCAGTCCGCGGTCTGTTCTGTGGAACGCCGTTCCCGCCGATTCCCGAAAACTCCGCCTTCCCGGCAAGACCCGCTAGATAGAGGATGTGCTGGACGCTGGACAGCAGGCAGCACCACGAAAAATGACCACGCCAAGAAATAAATTGAACACTAGAGCAACACTCCCCAGAAATTTGGCCCATACTGCGGAAGGGGGTTGAGGTTGAAGAAGGGTCGTAAGCGGCGCGCAGCCGAAGCTCCGCGTATCCAGTGTGCACAAAAGACGCACACATTTTCTCGTTGCCCCTCTCACCGGATGCCAAAAGAGCGCCAGCTTGCGGTACACCCTTTTGATATCCTCATCACTCGCATCTCGCTCAAGGCCAAGAACATCGTAGTGGCACGGCTTGCCCGGCATGGCGCGCTCTCTCTCTCTCTCTCTCTCTCTGTGAGGCGCAGGCCAGGCAGGCGGTTGCACCAGCCCGCAAGTCGAAAGTCGGGGGCGCCGCAAGGTACTATTCACAGAAGAGGGGGCTCCATATGTGTCATCGTTCAAATCTGCAACCCAAATTCGCGGGCAAGGGACTTGTCCTGGCTGTGCCTAATGTCAGCGTGTGTACGGTCAATCCCGGGTTTAGCTTCCTCACATTTCCAGCATACCCCACGATTGCATTCCAGCCATCTCCTTTATTTGTCTACACCATGAGCCATGCGGATGCAGCAACTGTCAACAAGATGGTGGTTCTTGGCAAGGTAGACTATCTATCGCATATGTCGAGAAGCTGATGAAAGCTGGAGCTGATCCTGATGGATGTGTCAAGGGGGTGCCCCACCTCGTCGCTGCGGCACGCGCAGGTACGAATGTCGAGACCTGTGTTGGGCTCGGGTGGATTATCGGTCCAACATCCGTCGCACACCTACTACTGCTACAGCTGGTGTGTAGGTAGCAGGTACAGCAGTAGCACTTGCTGCGTACCTCTTTCAGCACACGTTACATCGGTCAGCTTCTCCGTGGTGAGGAGCTGCCACTCTACAGAGGTACACCTCGTTGCTTTCATGCGGTAGTCCTTTGCTGCCGTGCAGAGCGAAGAGAGGAAGCTCTTCGTCAGAGCTTCCCCAGATCCACATAACAACAAGAACAGACCGCCTACATCCACGTATCCCCGACCGGCCCGTAGCAGCCCGTAGACCTACAGGATGTATGTGCCTTTACTGCTGTAGGATACAATGTTGTGGCTCATTGATCCAGTACTTCCATGACATACGACGCATCCACCGAGGTTGGAAGACGCCTTGTGTGACTTGTACATTTGACAGCTAATTCCACACCTGTGATAACCCAGACTACGCGTTCTTTCAACTTTCAAACGAAAGCTCTTCGGAATTCATGTGGTCCATTTAATTTTCGCAGTTGACAGTTTCGGACACCAAAAAAAGCTGAAACAAGGAAATATATTTTGAATTAAGCCATCGTTCTGAGGATCGTTCCTGACAGTCTCGCCAGAACCCAAGATAAGGGGAAAATAATCAGATTTAACAGCGGAGGGAGGCTCGTGTTGTGGAAAAATTTGCCAACTTTTCGATTTAAGCAACTTTCTTCGAAACAACACACCAGGCACCACACACTGTTAGTGCACTGCCGCCCTCAGCGGTCTGTGGTGTTGAGACTGGGGACTATGTTATCCCAGGAACAGCTGATAAAAAAGGACCATGTATTGTATAAATTCGTCACGCAAGCCCCTCAGGCAAGCTGGTATTCGACACGCAAGCCCCTCAGGCAAGTGCCGGGAGCACACCGCTGTGTGCTCCCGGGGGCCCCGCACTTGGACCACAACCGCATACCTCACACCCATACTTCCCATACGCGTATCCCCCACAGAGGATGCACAGATCGGACTCATATCCAAGTACCACAAACAGCCCCCCTACTTGATACGATGTACGATCTTGCAACCAATGCGAAAACGCAATCAGCAAACATAGAAAAACACCCCTTGAGAAAACTTATTCAACGAAACTGGCTACGCATCCAACACAAAGCGTCTCCATCAGTTTATTCACGAATCCAAAGCGTTCGTCTCTGGAAATAATCTCAAACCGTTGACACAAAAGAATCATCCTCACAAAAGTACCCAACAATTATTTGTGTCAGAAAGGCGTCGGAACGAAAACGGACATTTCTGGAAAAAACAACTTCCAAAAGAGTTGGTACCAAATCCTCAAACAAAACAAAAACTCAACTTCTTGACCAATCAAAACGAGAATTCGGAAAGCACAATGGCTCCAACCATTAATCGTCAAAACATGTCAAACCCTTCCTCCAATACCAAATCCTAAACAGCGCGCACCCGCTAATCGGTACCGTCGCTGTTGTCCAAGAAACGGTGGAAAATATAAGCAAGCATCCACGCAAACAGCCCCCCTGCTGTCAGCTCCCAAAATTCACCCCGAGCTAATATCTCAATGTCAACAGTCCCCCCTGCTTTGCCGTTCACCTAAAACACAAATAGACAAGGCCAGAAAACGAACCAATTCGATTGCTGCTCACGCCCTCTTGAATCATGGTCATACATGACATCCCCCCCTATGATTTTCGATGCAAGAGCAGCAAAACATGCGATACAAACCAAAAACATGAAAACACGTTACACTCATGGCATCAAACTCCGGAAAAATTCGTACCGTATGAAAACTGTATTTGCAACTGGAACTCCAAAAGCTACCCTGCTCCCTGAGCCACATGCCTTCACGCACGTCAAGCAACGCGCTATCATCCCAATTCTTGCGCGCGGCCAAAAACACACCGCAGAGAGCGACCGCTTAACTCAGGACCTAACATAAAAAAAAAAAACCAAAAGTATCGAAACACCCTAAGCGCAAAACGCGACTGAACGTACTCCCGCCAAAGAATAGGGAAATAACATGAAGCATTCAGCTGCAAGGTAAAACGCGACTGAAAACATACGAAGAAGCAAGGAAAAAAAAAAAAAAAAAACCACCTGCTGCTTCCTATTCCACAGGTTGTGGCAATGCTTATCTTGTCGCAGCGAACATTTATTATCATGAAACCAAGTACAGAAGAAAAATTATTACGCACACGCCGTGGCACACGTGTTTTCTGCATCAAAGTGCACGGTGCGCTTGTAAGTGAAAAACAGTTGTTTTTTTTAATAATTATACGAAGCCAAATGGCGAAGCTAAAACGTCCATGGCTGCTCGCAAAACCGAACAACGTCGTAAACGTTTCACATGATTTCCCACTTGGCTGTAACAAGGTGAGGTCGTCGCTGTCACCGTGTCCTCCCCGTTCCCGGTCGACTCGAGGGCGCCACCGCTGCTGCCGCCGCTGCCATCGCCGCCGTTGCCGGTCCCCCGCCGCCACGACCGTCATGAGTTCCAGCGCCAACACGGCTGCCGGTAACGTCGCTGCTGCCGCCTCTACCACCGCCGCCGTTGTCGCCGCTGCCGCAGACGGGGCTCTGGCCAAAACCGCCGCTGCCGTCTTCTGCTGCCGTCGGAGCTCTGGCCGAAGCCACCACTCTCGTCGCTGCTCCTGCTGCCGCCGGTGTCGCCGCCGGAGCTCTGGCCGAAGCCACCACTCCCGTCGGGGCGGCCGCCGTTGCCGCCGTTGGAGCTGCCACTCCCGTTCCTGCCCCTATCGAAGGGGTACGCCACCCCTGGTACCGCCCCCCGTCTCCTCGCGCCACGCGAAGATGTCTTACCGGGGTCGAAGGGGTGCGTCGGGGCTCCACTCCAGGTTTCATCTAACCCCTCACCCCCGTTCCCATCACCGCCGCTTTCCTCGCTGCTGCTGCGGCTGCTGCTGCTCACTTCCTCCTCAGTCTTCCCGGGATCAAAAGGGTGCGTCGGGGCTCCATTCCAGGTTTCATGCAACCCCTCGTCGCCGCCCTTGCGGCCGTCTGGACACCCGACGCCAACGCGGCGACCGGGGACGCCGCTGCTGCTGTCGCCGCTGCCGTTACCCCCGTCACCGATGTCGACGCCGTCGCCGCTGCGGCCGTCTGGACACCCAACGCCAACGCGGCGACCGGGGACGCCGCTGCTGCTGTCGCCGCCGCCGTTCCCCCCGTCACCGATGTCGCTACCGCCGCCGCTGCGGCCGCTGCTGCTGCTGCTGCTGCTGCTGCTGCTGCTGCTGCTGCGGCCGCCGCTGCTCCGGTCATCCGTCTCTCCACCATACTTCTCCTCTCCATCCACACGCACCTCCAGCGTATTAAATCCTCCAGGGTCAAACGGGTACGACGCGCCCCTCTCGAAACCGCAGATGCCGTCGTCTCCGCTGCTGCTGCAGGTCAGGGTGCCCGGGGCCATCGCGGCAACCGGGGACGACGCTGCTGCTGCCGCCGCTGCCCCCCCCCCCGTCGCCGACGCCGCCGCCACCGCTGCTGCGTCCGTCGAGGTGCCCGGGGCCATCGCGGCGACCGGGGACGACGCTGCTGCTGCCGCCGCTGCCAGCCCCCCCGCCGCCGACGCCGCCGCCACCGCTGCTGCGTCCGTCGAGGTGCCCGGGGCCATCGCGGCGACCGGGGACGACACGAAGTCGGTGCTGCTAGTGCGGTGGGTAGACGCGGCACTATCACCAACCCACCAGTCGGTACGCCCAGTCGCCGACAGCAAAGTGGGGACAGGGGCCGGCGGATACGCTACAGGGTGACGGTGTTGGCAGAAAACGTGAAGAGCATTACGATCGGGGGGGGGACCTACCGGCTCTACGGTGCCGTACGAACCGGCATGACCATCCCCCCCTACTCCATCAACGCATTCACCCTCACCGCCACTGACCTGTATATCCACGCCGGAAGCATCCCCCCACGCGCGGCCCTCCTGCTGTTGCAGCTGCTGCTGCGGCTCCTGCTGCTGGGGCACACCACCATAGCCGCTGCCGCCGGAACCCTGCCATGGCTGCACACCTCCGCTGGAACCATCCTGATGTACCACGGCAAGGTGTTGCTGCGGAAGAGGCGCCGACACGGGCCAATGGTGCGCTATCGACCCGTCTACACAACTTGCCGAATACCCCGGCTCCGCGCTGTTGAGATGGGAGTGCTGGGGGAAAGGCTGCTGCGAGAAAGGCTGGTAAGGTGGGGGCATTACGGCGTTGAGGTGGGGTACCTGAGACGTGTTGGCCGCCGCGTGTTGGCGCGGCGGCTGCTGCAGATTGTTGGATGTGTTAAATTTGCAGTTGCGCGCCGTGTGGCCGGATTCACCACAAATAGAACACCTACCATAAAATCGCGGAGGAGCCTGGCAGATGATGGCCGTGTGCCCGACATGACCGCAGCGACCACACATGGGCACGGCGCACATCGGTGATCCCGGGGGAATGGGGGACGCCTCCTGCGGCCACGCTGCGTTCCGCCCGGGGTCCCTGGGACCACCCGGAACGAATCCCATCGCCATTACGGGAGTGAACTCCTGGGGCTGCTGCTGCTGCTGGGGCTGCTGCTGCTGAAACGACTGCTGCGGAAAATGCTGAGGGAATCTCCGTTGATACTGCTGCTGCGGCGCCTGCTGATGAAACGACTGTTGCGGCTGCTGCAGCTGCGGGCGATATCCCCCGTTGTACTCTCCCTGTTCCCCCTCCCCACCCCGGCTGCTGCTGTCCATCTCTACCCTGTTGTCTGCCTTCGGAAAACCCACCGGTCCTCCGCTGCGGACCACCACCGCCGGCGCCGCCGCCGTTACCGTTGGGCCGTGAATTTCCGCCGAAACGGAGAGCGTGCGGATCGCTAGCCGGCGCGGCCGTCCGCTGTGCACGATCACCGAGATTTTTCTCAACGTGGTGGCTACGCACAAGAATCTCCAAGCTTCTGCGTGTGAGCGTGTGATCATGCATGAGCACGATCTTGACCTGTTCGTAGTCTGCCGAGAGGCTTCTACGTAAAGTCGCAAGGACCTCACTTTCCGGGATTTCATAACCGTTGACAGCGCGAAGCGTATTCAGCACTTTGTTAAACCTCAGAAAGTAGTCTTGCGGGTCCTCTCCGAGCTGCATCTTCATGTTAGCGAGGGACAACTTCAGGGCCTCCTTCTCAGAGCTACTCATTGGAAGACAAAACTCCTGGGCAGCCTCCCATGCCCCCGACACATTCCCTACAGCAAGAATCGTCGATTGGAATTTCGCCCCCTTCGTGGCTCGCCTCAAGTAATCGAAAGCACGCTCGTGATCACGCACACGCTTCTCATTGTGGAATCTGATGTTCTCGCTCCTGGATGTGTGGATGAGCCAGATGCGTTGATCAGGACTCGCCAGCGGAGTGAGTGTGTGCCCAAGATCTTCCCCGGCGAGGAAGACCTCGAATATCGTCTTGAAGAGCGGGAAGTTGCCGTCGTACACGGGTGGCTTGCGGTCCCTGTACTGCTGTTGCACTGGACCATCTCGAAAAGAAGTAGCCGCTCCCCCGGCTCCAAAGGTGTCCGCCCCCCCCGCTGCTCCACCCCTATAATACCCCGACGCATACCCAGCGCCATCCACCCTATCTCTAGTAGCATCCCCCGCTGAAATGCGCTCCTCTGCCTCCTCAAGTTTCCTCCATATCTCCGCATTCTCGGCTTCCGCTTTCTTCATTCCTTCTTCAAACTCTATCTTCTCTCTTTCCGTCATCGCTGTACCAACACCTGGCCTAGCTAGGCTCCACTCGATATCGTGTTAGTGCACTGCCGCCCTCAGCGGTCTGTGGTGTTGAGACTGGGGACTATGTTATCCCAGGAACAGCTGATAAAAAAGGACCATGTATTATATATATTCGTCACGCAAGCCCCTCAGGCAAGTGCCGGGAGCACACCGCTGTGTGCTCCCGGGGGCCCCGCACTTGGACCACAACCGCATACATACCCTCACACCCATACTTCCCATACGCGTATCCCCCACAGAGGATGCACAGATCGGACTCATGTCCAAGTACTACAAACACACACAACACATCATCAGGCACCACCCACACGCACACACAGTCTGCAAGAACATGTCCAGTGGCCACCCAAATAAAACCCAGCGCCAAGCGCAAAGGCCCTGGAGTTGGCGCGCCACCAACACAAAAAGGGGGAGGCTGCACACGGTCAGAAAACCAAGTTGGGGTTGGTTGTTGCGCGGCTTTAGGTCAGCAACACGCGCCCGTCACACACAGGTTGAGGCAAGGGGGAAGAAGAGCGCCAGAACGAACCGCGGCAACCGACGACGTAGAGGAGGTGGCAGCACCGCCAGCAAAGGGCAGAGAGGAGGAAGAGCACGCAGGTACCTTCTGGTGATGCGCCGCAAGAGTATTCTCTGCTTCTACTAGAGAGAGCGTGTTTGACTTCGATGTGCCCCCGCCCCGAAGAAACACCCTCTCCCGTACGCTTGAAATGCGATACACAGCACTTCGTACAGAGCTGCCGGCTAGTATGTGTACTTCCTGTCGCTGTACTGATGCGAGTTCGTGTGCTGGGGTTGAGGTGGCAACACAGACACGCACACGCATGCATGCACGCACACTCAACAGCAGTGGGAGCGCTGTGATCAGGGTGCAGCTGTCACGCAGCGCACCACAAAAAACAGCAGTACCTGCGAACAGGGGAAGTTCGCTGGGTGACTGTCGTCCCACAGCCAATCACATGAAGCCGCCTTAAATCGGAAAATATTCGCCTGCAGGAAGTTTCCAGGAAAATTTCTTATCTCAAAATCTGTTTCCTTATCTCAGCAAATTTGGAGCCCCAGTCCGAAACAGTGTAGTATACCTATTTTTGGGGTAAGTTAGCCTGTGACCACGGGAATCGACCCCGTCAAGTGTTAAGACTAGTGCGGACAAAAGAAGGTACTGGGGCAGAGAGAACGGAACGGTTTTTAATGTGAAGTCAACAACAACAACAACGGCAACAACAACTGTAAAAGCTTCTAGGAGCTTCAAACTCTTCCGAGATTAGGAATTTCGAAAATTCGATCAACCCGCGTTCAGGTGACACTAGCATGTGTGCGTGTGCTTCCCATTTGTTCTGACGCCAATCTACACGAACCTCGTGCTCGAGGTCCTCTGTCTAGGGCGGAAAAGCACCTCTGTGTGCGAATGACGGCAACCCGTCAACTTGTCGTTTTAGCATCGTTAAGATCAGGTCCCACGTCACCGCTTCCGATTCCGACTGTTTTCGGGTCCGGCTGACGGGGGAAACCATTTTTAACGCGTAACACTAAGTTTCATTCATAGGTGAGGCCCATGTTTCCATTGGCCCATTTCACAGGTTCCGTCCTCCTGTCCTGTCCTTGTAACCCCTCCACCCCGCCTGCCTCTCTGTAGGACAAGCACGGGTGATAAAGTGCTTCTTCGAGCTGGTGCCAAGACTGATGTGTTTGCCGAAAAAACGAAAGGAACGGCCCTCGCCACCGCCGCCTTCACGGGGAGCGCAGATGCGGTCAATGCTCTCGCCGAAGCGGGCGCTCGCCTGGGGGACTCAGAGTTCGACAAACACGCCATCCACATGGCCACCATTAGGCAAGACTTGGGCATTGTGAAAGCTCTAGTGTCCGGGGGTGCTGACCTTTCGGTTGGGTACCTGCAAGACCTTAATCGCTGCCCCCTTCACCTCGCCGTGGCCTATGGGATGACCCCGGTGGCTCAGTACCTCCTGAAAGCCGGGTCGAAGGTGAACTTGACAGACGACCATGGCTGCACACCGTTGTACTCGGCGTCCTTCGTCGGGAACCTGCAGTGCGTGATCGAGCTGCTCTCGGCCGGGGCGGAAATGATGATTGCAAACGCCGACGGCAACACCGCTCTCGAAGCGAGCAGCCAGCTGGGGTACGTCGCCATCGTCAAGGAATTCATCCGGCACGGAGTGCTGCGTGCTTCGCCTCCGGGCACGTCCGCGTGGGTTGCTTTTACGACTCTGTGTGCGGCGGCGCGGTCCGGGCATCCCGACGTCGCAGACGTATTGATCGAAGCTGGTGTGCCCCCTGCACAGGAAGGGCTGCTCCGAATGGGACCACTGTCGTGCGCGGCTTCAAGCAAGAAGCTGGAGGTATGTACATGATTGGACTGACTTGCATGGGCACTGTTGTACCGGACGACACTGCTGTAGTTTCTGCAACTTGCCACACCGGTGGTTTGGGACTGCGATGATGGATATGGCTCTTTCCAATCCTCTACACACCCTGTGGCACATCCGGTATGAACGTAATCCCGTCGCACATGACCCTCAAGTGAATGAATCGATCCCTCCCGCACCTTGCCGATCGATTTGTTGACAATCCATGTGTGTGAGACAACAGGTGGCGCGCCGAATTCTCAAAGCTTCGGGAGTTGTGGACGAGAAAGATTCTCACGGTTGCACGCCCCTCAATCGTGCGTCACAAATGATTCGCCCTAGACTGACCGCATTCCTGCTGGCGTCTGGAGCGAACCCCAGCGTCAGGTCTGCCGCGGATAATGTGTATTCTTGTGTTGCGCCTCCCGGTTGCTTTTTGTTATAGCACGGACAAAGCCAACTAGCCCGTGAGTCGCATCCCTCGGGGGCTGCGGTTTGCATGGACAGTCTTTGCTTGCACCAGGTCCCGTAGGTCATTCCAAGGGTAAAAACTCAGTGCAGTGCAGTTTGCTGAGAAAGCTAACAAACCAAAGAATAGCAAAACCCTCAAATGATGGAGACTTCATGTTCGATATTCGCAGCTGCAAGGGTCACCAACCCCGGTTCCCATCGTCGTTCAACCCGCGGTAGATACTTTTCAGCAACCACCGTGAATGTTTCTGCCCTCTACCCGCCCCATCACGCGCCTGACACACCAATGGCAAGGATTACTTGCGGGTGCCAAAACGACGCTATGTTGAGCATCGGCCAGGGCGAGCATTACGATCACTCGCCGGAAACACGTGAAGCGGATTTCGAGAACATGCGACGCGTGCTGCTGCTTCGGGGTGCCGCATACCAAGCCACCTCGTTTGCATGGCATCCCCTGGTGGTGATAGCGTTCGTCGGGTGAATGGCGATTTGTTTCCGGTGTATTCGTGAGAGACAACGAACGGTGGTACTACGGGTAAGTGTACGAAACCATCCCCCTGGGCGTCGTGATCTCCCGGTTCAATGCGGGCAGTGTGTATGTGTTGTGGTTGTTGCGATCGGCGGAGGCAGGCTTGTGGTCGTCCTGTGATGGGAGTGTTCGTTGGTTGCATGGCGATTGATTTTGTGTGTTCGCGAACGAGAACGGTGGTATACGGGGGGTACACTTTTTGAAACAACCCCCGGGCTTATGGTCGGCACCAGGGCTACCCGCAGCAGCGGCCGCGGTCCGCAACAAGCAGCGAAAAAAAAATCAAAAACAGCACCCTCGCAACGCACGAGGCGCGGCCTCTCCCTCCCGCCGCGTAACACGCGGAGCTCAGCGAAGGAGGATGCTGCCGCTGATGGTGCCACATACCCTGCCTCTGCC